CTTTCCTGATTTATCGTAGCCAAATTAGCCCCCATCATACTGTACGTATAGTTGGGGTTATTTTTCCTGATGTGCATTACTTTACACTTATCCACATTAAATTTCATTTGCCATTTTGTTGCCCAATCACTCAGTTTGGTGAGAATTAACTAATTCAAACTAAGTTAGTTCGAATTAGCGCTGTAGTGTAGACATACCCTAACAGATTAGTAAGATAGGAGTTCCCTTTACAGAAACCATGTTGACTTTTGTCCAACAAATTATGTTCTTCTACATGCTTCACAATTTTATTCTTTACTATTGTTTCAACTAATTTGCCCGGTACTGAAGTTAGACTTACCAGTCTGTAATTGCCAGGATCGCCTCTACAGCCCTTTTTAAATATTGGTGTCACGTTGGCTACCTTCCAGTCATTAGGTACGGAAGCTGATTTAAAGGATAGGTTACAAACCACAGATAACAGCTCAGCAATTTCCCATTTTAGTTCTTTTAGAACCCTTGGATGAATGCCATCCGGTCCCGGAGATTTGTTAACATTAAGTTTTTCTATTTGTTCCAAAACCTCCTCTAATGACACTTCAATCCAGGACAGTTCCTCAGATTCATCACCCACAAAGGACGGTGCAGATTCAGGAATCTCCCCAACGTCCTCAGCCGTGAAGACTGAAGCAAAGAAATCATTTAGTTTCTCTGCAATGGCTTTATCGTCCTTGATTGCTCCTTTTATAGCTCGATCATCTAGGGGACCCACAGGTTTTTTAGCAGGCTTCCTGCTTCTAATATACTTAAGATTCCAAGGTCAGTTCTCTCATTGAAGCACAAGGGGATTTGCATGCAGAATTCATATTATCATTAACAGAAGCTGCTCACATATAGAAAAACCAGACCTGTGTAAACAATGCATGTTAAAAAACCCAATGGAAGTGTTCTTTCCCTTTTTTTTAACAAAAAAGAAAGGACATTCACAAACCAAAACCCCCTATATTACACTGTCTTAGTCACATACCAAAAATTCCATTAAAAGAACATTAAGGTTCTGAGATCACCCAAGAAGAAAAAGAATGAAAGAAAAATCACAGTGATGAAGGATGAAACAAATCATACTGTACTGTGTCCTTCATTACCTGGGCACTGAGGGGTGCCATTTTGACAGCTTTTTCCTGCACCCCGTTGTGCCAGGGCATTCAATGAAATGTGGTTTGTTCCACCCCGACTGTGAATTCTTTGCCTTTATAGTTTCACGTTACACTCTTAATGATCTCTTGCTGCAGTTTTTAAAGTGTGAATAAAAACAGTTGTAGGAAACATTACTCTTAAGGAAATGTTCTGTTTGTCCAGAGTTCCTGCTCGGGTAACTTTTGTTGTCAGCTGTCCCATGTGTAGCTATGGGAAATTTTTAATCTGGTGCACATGCTGTGTATAATAAAGTAGGGAAGGTGCACAGTTTTCCAGGGAGACTATCAGACAAGACATAATTTAATTCTACAATGCCTCATTATACTGGGTGTGGCTAGCAAAATAAATTTGATAAAAATTTCAATGCATTTCAGATTTTATGGTACTAGCATACCAGTAGAGAGCCACAGGCCTTAACAGTGAGTCTGATTATGTGCCAGGCCAGGACTCCAATCCTAAAATCTGATCCTCTTGAGCAGATCTTGCAGCCTGCAGAGCCCCCATATCTTCCAGGAATCAGGTCTAACAATGTGGCAACATTTCCATTATTTTTGCCAGCAGCAAGATTGGGCCTGATGTCTCTTCTATTGTTGTTTTAGTTAAATCTTTATTAAAATGTTTAACAGACATTTAATATTTAGCACTGACAGGCTATGTCTACACTGCACGGTAGTTCATAAATTATTTTGAACATATTTTGAAATCGCTTATTTCTTAATTTGGTGCTGTTTACACCAACCCGCTATTCCAAAATGTCCTTTACTCCTTGTGGAATGAGGTTTACAGGGATGTTGGAATAGCGAGCCCGAAATAATGGGCTTTCTGTGAAGACGCGGAATAACTATTCTGGGATACTCAGATGTCCCAAAATAGTGTTGCAGTGTAGACATAAGCCACAATGTGGTAGTATTGGGCACACAGAACATGAAACAGTCATAGAAGCGCATGACTGCAAGGGCATGTCTACACTGCAGCGTTATTTTTTAAATGACTCATTATTTCGAAATAACAGAGTGCGCGTCTACACAACAAGCCTGTTATTTCAAAATTATTTTGAAATAACAGGCTTCTTATGCTGACTTCTGTAACCCTCATTTCATGAGGAGTGAGGGAAGTCGAAGGGAGACTGTTTTTCCTTCAATTTCCTGCTGTGTAGAGAGCACCTAAAGCTGAGTTAAGGTACTTCAACTTCAGCTACGCAATTAACGTAGCTGAAGTTGCGTATATTAATTCGACTTTAGCCAGCAATGTAGATACACCCGAAGGGATCTCTACAGATCATATAATTGAGTCACCTGCACTCAAGGCAGGATTAATTACTAGACCATGCCTGACAGGTATGTTTGTCTAACTTGTTCTTAAACCCCAAAATGATGGAGATTCCACAACCTTCCCAGGCAATTTGTTCCAGTGCTTAAGTGCCCTGATAGCTAGGAAGTTTTTCCTAATGTGCAAACTAAACCTCCCTTGCTGCATTTAAGCTTATTGCTTCTTGTCCAGATGTGGGCAAAAGGGTTAAGTGGGTGGATCCGTCCAAGCCTCCTCCTGCACTGCCAATGAGATGCTAGAACGGGAAACTGAATCTGACGGCATGGGAGGAGTCTGGGCCGGAAGCAGAGAGTGATCAGACTGAGATTCACTAAGGAGTCCGGGAGCAAGGCTAACTGAGATAAGAAGCTGGCAACCGGAGGGACAAGACTGGGAGTGGGATATGCTGGAGGAGATGGGGCAAAAGGCATCAGGCCTAAGGGGATTATAAAGGAGGGTTTTGCTTCCCCAGTATCTGGAATGGACATTAGGATTGCTTCGTCTCAGAAGGAGTTCTGTGGAAAGAATAGAGGTTATCATGCAATTAAAGCTGTATCCGAATGTGTTTGCACCATCGGGTTGAAGTTGGGTTGCATGGTAGGATTGCCAACACTCCTCGTTTCACTGGGAGTCTCCCAAAACTGTGCTCTCTCTTCCAGAGGCTACTGCTTTTTGGCTGCTAACAGTCCAGCGGTAAGGCAAGCCCCTGCCTGCCCTGGCTCTGCACTGCTCACCAAAGTGGCTGGCACAGCCCTTGTGGGACCAGAGGGTCTCCACACACTGTCCTCATCCCCAGTGCTGACTCTACAGCTCCCATTGTCCAGGAACTGT